AATCGCAAAAATTCCTGAAAATTGCAAAAAATTGCAGAAATGCCTGAAAATCGCAAAAATTCCTGAAAATTGTAAAATCGCAAAAATGACTGAAAATTTCAAAAATCGCAAAAATTCCTGAAAATTGCAAAAATCGCAAAAATGACTGAGAATTGCAAAAATCGCAAAAATTCCTGAGAATTGCAAAAATCGCAAAAATGACTGAGAATTGCAAAAATTTCAAAAATTCCTGAAAATTGCAAAAATCGCAAAAATTCCTGAAAATTGCAAAAATCGCAAAAATTCCTGAAAATTGCAAAAATCGCAAAAATGACTGAGAATTGCAAAAATCGCAAAAATGCCTGAAAATTGCAAAAATCGCAAAAATGACTGAGAATTGCAAAAATCGCAAAAATTCCTGAAAATTGCAAAAATCGCAAAAATTCCTGAAAATGCAAAAATCACAAAAATTCCTGAAAATTGCAAAAATCGCAAAAATGACTGAAAATTGCAAAAATCGCAAAAATTCCTGAATATAGCAAAAATTCCTGAAAATTGCAAAAATCGCAAAAAATGCCTGAAAATTGCAAAAATCGCAAAAATGACTGAAAATTGCAAAAATCGCAAAAATTCCTGAAAATTGCAAAAATCGCAAAAATGACTGAAAATTGCAAAAATCGCAAAAATTCCTGAAAATAGCAAAAATCGCAAAAATTCCTGAATTGCAAAATCGCAAAAATTCCTGAAAATTGCAAAAATTGCAGAAATGCCTGAAAATCGCAAAAATTCCTGAAAATTGCAAAAATCGCAAAAATTCCTGAAAATTGCAAAAATCGCAAAATTTCCTGAAAATTGCAAAAATCGCAAAAATTCCTGAAAATTGCAAAAAATTGCAAAAATTCCTGAAAGTTGCAAAAATCGCGAAAATGACTGAAAATTGCAAATATCGCAAAAATTCCTGAAAATAGCAAAAATTCCTAAAATTTGCAAAAATCGCAAAAATGACTGAAAATTGCAAAAATCGCAAAAATTCCTGAAAATTGCAAAAAATCGCAAAAATGACTGAAAATTGCAAAAATCGCAAAAATTCCTGAAAATAGCAAAAATTCCTGAAAATTGCAAAAATCGCGAAAATTCCTGAAAATGCAAAAATCACAAAAATTCCTGAAAATTGCAAAAATCGCAAAAATTCCTGAAAATGCAAAAAATCACAAAATTCCTGAAAATTGCAAAAATCGCAAAAATTCCTGAAAATTGCAAAAATTGCAGAAATGCCTGAAAATCGCAAAAATTCCTGAAAATTGTAAAAATCGCAAAAATGCCTGGAAATCGCAAAAATTCCTGAAAATTGCAAAAATCGCAAAAATGACTGAAAATTGCAAAAATCGCAAAAATTCCTGAGAATTGCAAAAATCGCAAAAAATGACTGAGAATTGCAAGAATTTCAAAAATTCCTGAAAATTGCAAAAATCGCAAAAATTCCTGAAAATTGCAAAAATCGCAAAAATTCCTGAAAATTGCAAAAATCGCAAAAATGACTGAGAATTGCAAAAATCGCAAAAATGCCTGAAAATTGCAAAAATCGCAAAAATGACTGAGAATTGCAAAAATCGCAAAAATTCCTGAAAATTGCAAAAATCGCAAAAATTCCTGAAAATGCAAAAATCACAAAAATTCCTGAAAATTGCAAAAATCGCAAAAATGACTGAAAATTGCAAAAATCGCAAAAATTCCTGAATATAGCAAAAATTCCTGAAAATTGCAAAAATCGCAAAAATGCCTGAAAATTGCAAAAATCGCAAAAATGACTGAAAATTGCAAAAATCGCAAAAATTCCTGAAAATTGCAAAAATCGCAAAAATGACTGAAAATTGCAAAAATCGCAAAAATTCCTGAAAATAGCAAAAATCGCAAAAATTCCTGAATTGCAAAATCGCAAAAATTCCTGAAAATTGCAAAATTGCAGAAATGCCTGAAAATCGCAAAAATTCCTGAAAATTGCAAAAATCGCAAAAATTCCTGAAAATTGCAAAAATCGCAAAAATTCCTGAAAATTGCAAAAATTGCAAAAATTCCTGAAAGATGCAAAAATCGCGAAAATGACTGAAAATTGCAAAAATCGCAAAAATTCCTGAAAATAGCAAAAATTCCTGAAAATTGCAAAAATCGCAAAAATGACTGAAAATTGCAAAAATCGCAAAAATTCCTGAAAATTGCAAAAAATCGCAAAAATGACTGAAAATTGCAAAAATCGCAAAAATTCCTGAAAATTGCAAATATCGCAAAAATGACTGAAAATTGCAAAAATCGCAAAAATTCCTGAAAGATGCAAAAATCGCGAAATGACTGAAAATTGCAAATATCGCAAAAATTCCTGAAAATAGCAAAAATTCCTAAAAATTGCAAAAATCGCAAAAAATGACTGAAAATTGCAAAAATCGCAAAAATTCCTGAAAATTGCAAAAAAATAGCAAAAATTCCTGAAAATTGCAAAAATCGCAAAAATTCCTGAAAATGCAAAAATCACAAAAATTCCTGAAAATTGCAAAAATCGCAAAAATTCCTGAAAATGCAAAAATCACAAAAATTCCTGAAAATTGCAAAAATCGCAAAAATTCCTGAAAATTGCAAAAATCGCAAAAATTCCTGAAAATGCAAAAATCACAAAAATTCCTGAAAATTGCAAAAATCGCAAAAATTCCTGAAAATTGCAAAAATCGCAAAAATGACTGAAAATTGCAAAAATCACAAAAATTCCTGAAAATAGCAAAAATTCCTGAAAATTGCAAAAATCACAAAAATTCCTGAAAATTGCAAAAATCTCAAAAATTCCTGAAAATTGCAAAAATCGCAAAAATGACTGAAAATTGCAAAAATCACAAAAATTCCTGAAAATAGCAAAAATTCCTGAAAATTGCAAAAATCGCAAAAATTCCTGAAAATGCAAAAATCACAAAAATTCCTGAAAATTGCAAAAATCGCAAAAATTCCTGAAAATTGCAAAAATCGCAAAAATGACTGAAAATTGCAAAAATCGCAAAAATTCCTGAAAATTGCAAAAATCGCAAAAAATGACTGAAAATTGCAAAAATCGCAAAAAT